AGTCAAGTTAACACGACCTGCGACAGCTTTTCTGTGCTGAGCATCCAAAGCTGCATCAATCTCATCAAACAGATAGAATGGTGCCGGGTCACACTTCTGAATTGCAAATATCAGAGCTAGGGCAACCAAACTTTTTTGACCACCCGAGAGTTGCTGCATTTCCAGATTGTCATCTTCGCCGGTGAACGAAACCTAAAGTAGTGTTTCAATGAAAAATACACATAAACTCATATCTTTTTTTTAGGATGCCTGTTTTATCAGTCTCAAATCAGTTCTACCAATACTGATAAGAAAAAAAATTATACAGTTCAACTCAACGTACTCGAATAGCAACGCCGGTAAAAGTTTCCACACGAGGCAAATCAGCCTGCTCGTCTGGTGGCACTGAATCATCTTCCTGCAAAACTTTGCTATACAACAATATCGTGTCAAGACACATTTTTTAGTAGAAGGCTGAATCAGTTAATATTCTAGAAAAAAATAATCCACCGAACAGAAGAGGGATAAAAAACCACCACTTTTTCAAGACAGTCATCTATGCTTGCCAAAAAAAAACCTGTTCCCGATCACGACATACCATAATAGTAACAGAACTGAAAAAAAATAATTGGCCAACGCACGGGGCGCAGTTTTTGTCGCTAACGGCACCAGTTTTTCCGGCAAATGCTTCTAGCTAAAGAAATTAATACTGACCACCAGAACTTCCAGGAAACACCCCCTTAAAATTTCAGCTTTCTAGCTTTCCTGGCTCCCCAGTAAGCAATTTACCCAAAAAAAAACTTTCACCGAACCGTACGTGAGTATCACGCATACTCGATGTCTGGTTTTGAGCTCATTAGTACATATTTGGGGGAGGAATACCCCCTTGAAGTTCCAGTCTTCTAGCTTCCCAGGTTCTTGAGATAACAACTTGCCCGCAAAAAAACTTTTACGGGCCCGTACGTGGTTACCACGCGGGTAAGACCGCCCATTTTGGAGATGGGGCCCGTATCTGCATACAGATTAAGTTTCCAAAGTTCCGGCCCTGTGGCTTTTGTAGGTCTCGAGATGAAAAATCGGCACAGACGCCCGGCGCACACACGGACACACACAGACAACCTCTCGTCAATATCCGTTTTCTGCACTGCATAGCTACAAAAAACGCATAAAACCTGAAACTCACATGAATGATTTGCATCACTAAACTGCCATGACCTTGAGGGACAAGCTTCTTGAAAACAGTTTCGAAATTTTTTGAAACTTGTTTGAACGTCAGTTGGATAGCTTCATATTTGCGTAGGTCGAGAACATTTAGCAAATCATTGATCGCCTGCAAATTACCAACAAATAAAAAAATACCTTTTCGAAAAAAACAAAAGCAACTGAATATTTTGAATATTGCTTTACACAATAATATAAAGAATCCACTTAAAACTTATATGGAACTGAGTGAATGCAGCAAGTTCCGAACAGAACATGTAAAAGCTGGAACGCAACGGGCTCGCCTGTACGATTATGCATTTTTGCGCTAAACTTAAAGCAATCAGGTTGGGCAACTGCTTGAATGGTTGTTGCTTTACATTTAACTTGCGCACTCACTGCCGTAAATCATCGTAAATTTTGCACCAAAAAAAAATGAACAATTCCCTTTGAACGGTCATTCATCGAGAATGATTTAGCTGTTCAGAGACCAAGCATATATTAGGGCTGAACTTGAAACCTTTAAATTGTACGTGGACGGGGCATAACTCTTTGAAATTTCAACTCTCCAGCTTTTCTGGTTGCCGAATTAGCAATTTTCCCGCCAAAATCTTCATGTGCTGATACTTGCGAACCACACACAATT